CCAAGTTAGATGGCGGCATTGACTACGACCGACGCTGAAGGTTGGGTGGCCGACAAGTGGGGCCGTCGCGGACACCGAACAGACTATGACGCATCTGTCTCTTGTTCACGTGGATGCAAATCGTGTGCAAATTTGGGTCTAAAATGCGTCCGGGCGAACAGCAAGCGGACACCTTTTAAGTTTGGGTCGGCGCGTTGCATTTGGGTCACGGCGGCGTTGGGTTGCTCTCAATTTAGTGAGAGGCATAACTTTTCACCCCGTTTCATTTTCTAGAAAAGTATATGCTACTCCTACTTTCTTATTAAATTAAAATTTCATTTTTTCCAAATTGACTGAGACTTGAAAAAACTCCATGGGCCTAGGATTAATAAAACCACTATTATTGCAACCGGGCCAAAAAGGGAATAAGCTCAAAATAATTAATACTACCTCTCTAACTTAATGTAAGATGTTTTTTGGCTCCATCAGGAAGTAGCATCAAACGAAACTAGTTTTATGTTTTTAAAAAAAAATTGTTTCTTGTGAGAGTGTCAAAGTAAAATGGTTTTTGTTTCTTCTGTTTTCTACTTTTTCTAGATTTTTGTCCAACTAGGTTTATCGGTTGGTCCACAAGCTCTACAAAAGTGAAGCACGGGTTAGTACAGTTTGAAGCACAGATTTCACTCAAAAAAATCGTCAAGACTTATCAATATGAGATATAGTTTTAAAAATCTCGACGCAAGACATGAAACGGTTCGTTATTTGGACGCACAGTTCGAGCAACAAATCGAATCTATCAAAAAAAAACACAAATAAACAAGACCATCTCTCCTCGTGTGGGAAGAAATCCCATAAAGACTCTCTAATTGCGACAAGTGCCAATGCCATAAGTATTGCTTGCTAACATGAGATGTATTCTGGGCCAAACCATTGGCGATACCTAAGCGAGCACAATGAACGTTTCAACGAACAGCTTCCAAAACCTTCCGCCTGTGTTAGGAAAGTTTCAGCAGGTTATTCATTTTGTTCTTTTTTTCTTCTCCGGGGTTTCCTTTTAATTTTTTCTTTTCTTTTTCTAACTTATAATTACATAAAAATTTCAGATTCAGAAATTAATTTTTAAAATTGTGAACCTTTTAAATTCGTGAATTTTATACAAATTTGTCAACATTTTCTATGTCAGCGAACACATGTTGAATTCTTCAATTTTTTACAATTTCATGAACACTTCTTTGAAATCACCAAACATTTTTTTTTTCATATTCACTGACATTTTTTATATGCCTGAATAGTTTTTCAATTTCTTGAACACTATTCAAAATCATAAACATTTTGGAAATCTGGGAACCATTTGTCAAAATCATGAACATTTTCAAATATGTGAATTTGTTAAAAATTGTAAAAAAAATTCAAAATTGACAAAACTTTCTTGATTCATGTAATTCTGATCTTCATGAAAAATATTTTTCCAGTTCTTGATTTCAAAAAAAAGTGCGTGGCATTTTTTAAATTCATGAACTTTTTCTTACTCCAAGAAATTTTCCATACTCGCAAACCATTTTTCAAATTGATTAATATTTTTGAAATTCGCAGTTTGTCTTTCAATTCTTTGAACGGTTTTTTAATGGGTGAACATTTTTTCAATTCCAGAACGTTTTTTGAATTTAGTATTGTTTTTCATATTTGCAAACATATTTTGATTTTTTACTTTAGAAAAACTCATGTACATTTAAATTCAAGGACATTTTTCAAATTCATGGACTTTTATGATTTCACGAACATCGTTTGATATTATGAAGAATTTTTCAAAATTCTAGTTTTTTTAGTGCAATGCATAAAAAACAGAAGGGAAAAACCCCACGAATCTTACATAGCCTACGCTACGGAAGCGATCCAAATGAATGGGCTGACCCACCGTGAGCGATGGCTCATGGCTGGGATACACATCGCTATAAGCCATAAATTTCACCGCCCTACCCTGCCCTGCACTAGGAGAAGAGCGCGAGACCGAGGATTTGAATCAACGGAGAATTCACGTTGCATCCGACTGCAAGATGGTGATGGACGATATCATGCATCGGAGTTTGGCTAGCTATGGAGCCATCATACATGAAATTATAGACTATAGTAGTTCTTTCATTTTATGTAACTTTGTCCATGAGTTTAGAAGCTCCAACTTTGAAGCTCACAATTTAGCGAAGCATGCTTTGAAATTAGGGGTGAGTCGCCATGTTTGATTAGGACATCCCGGTGATCTGATGTTCGTCCCTGTAAACATTGTGACGTTATAAATAAAGCTTCGCGAGATTGTCTCAAAAAGGAGAAGAGCGCGCTAATTGTATTGGTTTTTTTAACAGAAATCTATAGCTTGCTTATAGCGAGAATAGCTCCTGTCTTACTGAAGATTTTTCCTCCTCTCTGCTGTTTTGGGCCAACCTGTTTGATGTTTTTTTTCGTTCGCTCTTTTTTTAGTAATTTTATTCATACTCATAACAACTATAAGTACACTGATTTAGATCTAAAATCCAAGAAACTACAAAGTAACTTCTATGACTAAGAATTACAATGAAATCTCTTGAAAGCACCTTTCAAGAAAAAGGGTTTCCCCCCGCTTTAGATTAT